CCCCCCCCCCCGCCCCGTAGCTGGGCAGACCCCAGGGGTCAGAAAGCATGCTGCCTTCCCTACACACCCTCACCAGCGTGTCTCCGCCCTCCGCCATGCTCTTGGGTAAACAGCAGAACCCACACTGGCCCCTACTTATTGAGAAGCACTCATGTTGCGGAAAATCTCTTTTCTCGGTATCCTTGCCAGCCAGAAGACTCTCTGGAGCTTCAAGTCTAGAAACAAAGAATTTTCTTGGGCCCAGCGCGGTAGCTCACACCTGTAATCCCAGCACTTTGGGTGGCTGAGGAGGGAGGATCGCTTGAGGCCAGGAGCTCGAGGCCAGCCTGGGCAACACAGCAAGACCCTGGTCTCTACAAAAACAAACAAAATGAAGGCCAGGCGGAAATGGAACAAGAGTGAAGTGGAGAATGCTCTGCTGGGTTTTACTGTAAGATGCCCACGGGCATGAGGCTCTGTGCTCCTGAAAACGCAGGAGCCCCCCCCCCCCGGCTGGGGGGGCTGCCAAGCCCATGCAGGGAGACCCCACCTCCCTTAGGGCTGGAGTCCCCCATTCACCTGAAGGACAGAGTTTTCGCACTTATCACGGAAACTCAGCACAATTTGGGGCAGTGGGGAGGTTACAATATTCAGGAAATATTTTAGGAACAGGTCACCTCCGCACTGGCCAAGGGATAACACATTCCTGATGTCCTTGGGAGTGCAGGCCAGCCGGGGGCATGTCATAAGCTGCAGCAGACACCAAGGTCCCAGCATACCAGGTGAAGACGAAAGGACACTGCCTTCTACAATCTCAATTTGCTCTCTGAGCACCTGATCACTGGGGGAGGGGGGACAGGTGGTGTCTTTGCCCAAGTGGGTGCCAACTCCACCTTGCCTTGCCAGGCTGGCCTGACTCCCACTGCTGGCCCACACCAGAAGCGTCCCTGATGACACATGCTCCTGGCACCTCGTGCTGGGCACCCCAGCTCCACCCAGAAACATGCCCCAATCTGTCTCCCTCCACCCCAGGCTCCCGTGCACCCACCAGGCCTTGCAGGGTGGGGAGTCCCAGAGCGGGCTCAGTGTCCCCTCCATTGCCCAAGGGAACTGGAAGAACCAGGCCTCCTGTCAGGTGGCCATTGGTCACTTGGGCACAGTTTGAGGGCCTCTTTGTGTGGCCACCGGCCTGGCACGGGTGGTCGTGCCCTTGGGCCACCTTTAGGCCCTTGGGGAGTTGTGGTTCTGGGTTTATGGGCCTGTGGCCAACCCAGGGGTGGCGGGGGTGGAGCGGGGAAGCTGGGTGGTGGGGCACACCAGACTCAAAGGAGATCCAGACGGTGGAGGCAATGCTGAGCGACTGGGATGCCGGGATTGGGGACCTGGGCCGCGAGGGTGGGAGTAGGCGGCAGAGCCCCAGTGACCTGGCTGGGTGGACGCTGGAGGGCGGGGCTGTGAGGGAGAGGGGACGTCGCAGAGCAGGGCCCGGGTGGGTGACCTACTGCGGTGCGAGGGC